CCCCCCCCCCCATCAACATGCAAATAATGTGTTAGAATAAAACCTTTTCATTGTCAGTATATATCTTTAGACCCAGTGACCTCAATCACTGGGTCCCTGTTATTTTCTGTGACGTGCAGGCAGATCATGGCTGGTTGGATTGGTCGGGAGGATGCTGTACATGGCTTCCTAAAAACATCACCTCTCGGGAGCCTCCCAGCCTAATGAATTGCAAATATCAAAATGCCTTGATAGGCTGGTAGGAGTCTGAAGTAGCGGGCATTCTTTGCACTCTGACCTAGGTAACACCCACATGTGATGCTAGCCTCCACGATTGAAAGAACTGAAATACAATGAATGATAATGTCAGGACGATTCAGGCTGAGGAGTAAAGTGCAAGATGATGAGGGTCGTCTTCTGGGCAGAAAAAGGGCCTGGCTCTGTCTGACTTGCTGCAGCTTCTAATGCATATTGTGAGAAGCTCACAGATCAGAGTAAGAAATTTCAATACAGGAGAGGAACCGATATGACTGTGCTAGACTGAAGGTAAGGCTGTAGTTCAGCTTTAAGGCAGCGTTCAGCCTGTGTCCTGCTAGAATCCATAGAGGTCAGTATGCAGCTGCAGAACTGCCATGCTGCCATATTTTGGTTTCCAGGCTTCGAAAAGTGTGAACTGAGCGGTTTAGCTATATCAAGTGTTTGCAGCGTTCCTGCCAGGGGTTAGAACCTCCGACAAAGCCTCTGCAAAACACCCAAAAGTACCGCAGAGTGAACAAGCCAGCTTTCTGCTTCACAGGCTGTCCAGTCTGTAGTTTGGTAACCTGTGACTTCCTAGCTGCTGTCGGGAGTTTGAGTTCTGTTCCTTTACTTGCAGTTCTGTCACCCTGCAAAGCTTCGGCTTGTGTATTGTATAGATCCAGAGCGATGGAACTGCTCTTCATTCTGCCATTTGCCACCGCTTTTGTTTACTCACCTTTAGCCTGCAGCCAACTGCGTGCAGCGTATATAAATAACATGTGCCGTGTCATTTGATCCTATTATATTTTTAATGCCGTTACACGGCACAGCAGCACGGAGGAAGTCTCCTGTAGCAAGGGGCCCATGCTTGGTGACTGTAGGTGTCTGGAAAGCAGCTGGTACCTCTCAATGCATGAAGCATGTTTGTGTGTGCATGTATACAATATTACTGGGCAGTGGACACTGTGTGGAGCATTTCTTTTTTTTTTTTAAAGTGACACAGCTCCCTCACATACTTGGCACTACAATTCAGCAAAGAGGACCCGTCTAATCTATATTTAGTTTATAAACCATTTCTTAGTTCAGCAGTGGACAAATCCCAGGAGCCAATGCTCTTTCCAAAATAAGAGCTGGCTCCTAACTTTTGAGGTTTCTACTTGTTAATGGAGCTGGCTCCTAAAAAATAAAAAATCCTGGATTGGGGACACTGGCTCTTGAATTTCATATCAATTTGTCTTAGTTTGACAGGTTTGTTTATAAATGCAGAAACTGCATCTGGGATCCTCTATAGCATGCAGTTCTTCTGCAGTTAAAGGAGAACTATGAGGTGAGTGCTGTTCACTCACCTCATAGTTCTAGCCGACCTGTGACAATGAGACTGTCGCTGGTCAGCTCATTAGATCGGGAGGTGAGCGAACATATACCGGCGTTTGCTCACCTCTCGATCCTGTCACGGCTCTCTGCCGTGACAGGGGAGGGGCTGGATTCCT